CTTCTCTTAATAATTTATATACAAAGTAACTCCAAATATTAGATGTTCTAATAATTCTTTTTTAATATATTTTAATCAAAAATTTATAAGTAACATTCCTAACAAAGTAGATCATCAGAGGTGCCAAAAGAAACAGAATTTGGAGAATTGTTTGAAAGTGGGACATAAAATAGCATATTCAGAGAGTGAAATTCACACTAATCAACAACTGTGGCCTGCCAATCCTTAACCACAAAATATTAACAGCCACAATATCTCTCATTTGTGGTTGAATTTTGCTAAATGTGCGCACGTAGTGAGCCTATCGAGTAGGATAAATCACGATATGATTGTCTATTTTTCCCACTACCACCTTCGGTTATCATTAGTTTTGATGCACCACTCCCAAATGAATTAGAAGCCGTTGAATATTTATTTATTTATAATGGAAAAAGTCCATGAGAATTTTAGCTACTGACGCAACCCAAGTGGCTGAGCACCAATATACCGTGCCGAACGAGCCAACCATGACTTTGTAAGAAACTAATAATTAATCTTTTATTTCATTTACAAATGAAACTGGTTAATATTATATTTTATGATAGAACATCCCGTGACATACCACAAAGTAGCTGCGGAAAAAAGAAAAAAGAAAAAAGTTAGGATTGAAAATTTCAAAATACTACGTACGAAAATGTAAGCTTGACTGTTCCATAAGATCTGATTTGGCACTTGGCAGCCAACACAATTTCCCATTTGGGCATGGGACCCTTGTTGTGCGACTAGGTTGACTTTGCAAACTGTATAGGCTCGTGGAAACTTACACCCGTAGCACTTATTGTATTACCCTACAAGGGCCCCAATAAACAGCAGCTAATCTAATAGTTGTTCCATATTACCAGTGTATGGTTTCAGTCACAAATCGCACATATATACAAATCTAATAATTTTTAGAATATTTATTTTAAATATCATTTTGAACAGTTTAACAGAATAAAAATAATCAAAATCAATTAAAAATATAATTATATCAACTTTGTTGCAGAGCCATTTTGAACCTCCTATCTCAATAAAAAATTATACTTGGACGGTTTGGCCTCATCATTTTAAAAACCAAATCATAACCTTCCAAGACACGAGCATTGTTATGATCGTACCCCAATGTGTGCCATTATTACAGCTTATGTTTCTTTGCCAATCCAAAATGTTCTCTACGCAAATAATAATAATAATAATAATAATAATAATAATAATAATAATCAAAACCCTCACTCGTTCTTTAATGAGTGAACCCACAATATCTCACACCCCCCACTCATCACGAATTTCAATTATCTTAAACTAATTCACCTTTTACGCTACCAATATCATAATATTACGATCCTATCAATATA